TGGCCCCTCACTGACCCAGCAATGCCATAGTGCCTTGGGCAGGAGCCCTCCTGCTTTCCTCTCAGGTGCCTGGCAGTGGGGGGCCCTAGGAATCTGCCTCTCCTGCAGCCCCTCTGCTCTCCCAGCACCAGTTTGACTCCATATGCAGTCCAAGGGCAGCTTTGCAGGTGGGGGAGGCTGAGCTGCTCCTGCCTGGGGCCAGCACAGCCCCTCCCTGCCCTCAGGACCAATTCCCAAATCCCTAAAGACCAATTCCCAAGTTGTGCCTTCCAGCAGCAGGCAGAGAGCTGCCTCCCTCTCCAGCCTCTTCTCAGCTTCCTCATCTTCCTGGGAGCGTCCCTGCTGCCACATGGATTCATTTCTGTGAGCAGTAACACGAACATGGATCCTCTGAGCAATAACCAAATTGTGGATCGTTTTTCCTGAGCAATAACCCAAACAGGGGCCCGTTTCTCTGAGCAATAACCCAAGTGCCACTGTACAGGTGCCAACCCACAGCAGAGCTGTCCCCCCACGGCTGCACAGGACACATTCCTTCCCCACTGGCACAGCCCACGGGTGTGCAGCTGGACTCCCCCGTGCTGCCTCAGCACTGACCATTCTCAAAGCCTGTTCTCCTCTTCCTCCCTTTCCCTCTCTGCCCCTCCTCTGGCTCCAGCCCAGCAGCTGCTTGGCTGCGCTGGCCTCTTCCTCCCCCAGCCCCTGTGAGGACACAAATAAAGGGCTCCGGTTTCACCCTCACTCTTTGCCGCCTTTGTCTGGCTGCGGGACGGGTGCCACGAGGGTGCTGGGGACACGGGCCCCTGCCAGGCCCGTCTGCCTGTATACGAGCCACCGCTGTGGGACAGGTCCCCCATCCTGCGCGGTGACAGCCCTTTCCATGGCCACCCCCCTGCCTTCCTCCCTCCCTCCTCCATGATGGGATTGTTCTGGGCAGCACAAAGATCTCGGTGCTCTGGTCAGAGGCACCGAGGGAAATCCCGGCCAGGCGAGCGGGATCTTCGCTGTGGGCAGCGCTGGGGCCCTTTGTGCCTGTTCAGCCACCGGCTCTGCCCTGGCCCGCAGCCAGCGGCCCCGCCGGGCTGGTGCGGGGCCTGGGTCTGGGGTCCAGCTGGCCCTGCAGAGCCCCTGTGCTGGGAAGAAGCAGCTTGGGGCACTGGCATGGCTGTTTCTCACACTCTGTCTCCCGCTCCTTGCGCTGCTGGCCCTTCCAGCTCAATGCCCCGTGTAGCTGACGGTATCTGCCCGCCAAGGCCTGTACCCCTGTGGCCCCAGGGCCGTGTCTGCTGGCAACGCACCAGCCAACGCCTCCGGTGGCTTTTTTGATGTCCCAGAACAGGCTGGGCTGGAAATACAGTGTGCAGGTCCAGCTGGGAGTGAGGCAGTGCTGGTCCCTGGGGGTGATCCTGCCTCAACACGCCAGCTCTGTGCAGCACTCACTGCTTCTGTCAGCCCCGTCCTGGTGCAGCTGGTGCTTCCCAGGCGTGAAGGTGTGTGAGGGCTCATGAGCAGCACTGCACCGTAGTACCAGTCCTGGTCTTCAGCCACCATGGAGTCAGGTCCTGCCACCAAAGCAGCTGGGGTCTGCCTACAGCCAGGTGGGATGGGGACAAGGACCTGCTGCTCTCTAGATGGGCAGTGGGTCCTATGTGCAGTACAACACCATGGTCCTGGGGAAGGGGGCTGCCACAGCCCCTTCTTGCTGGAGGCTGCTCCGCTCCCAGCCCCAGGCACCAAGTTTTCTTAGTCCTGTTCACCTCTGCCTTCCGCAGCTTCTCATGGTGTCAAGACAGTATCAGCCCTGCTCTGCCTCCACCACGCTGCCTTTTGCAGCATGGGCCTCCAGGCACGGCCCCAAGACAGCCGATGGCTGCTCAAGTGACACCCTGCCAGAGGGTCACAGGGACCCTTGGCACGGCCCTGGGCAGCTGTGCAGGCACACAGCCACCGCGCTGCAGGGCCCCGCGTGCCCTGGCCCAATGCTCAGCCAAGCACATGGGGACTCTGCAAGTCTGACAGCCAGCATGGCCCTCCTGCCCTGACTGAGTGAGGTGCAGCCACAGCAGATCTTCCCCCAACTGCACCAAGAGCCGGACATGGCTCCTCTCCGTGGGGCCACCAGGATGGTTCCAGCCTGGGAAGTCGCCCAGCCCCACTGCACACACATATGTCCAAAGGAGACACTTGGACTTTATATAAAAACCACTGACATTTCTGCACACGCACATGGGGCCATGAGGTGTCCCTGCCCACCCAGTGCAGGGGGAGCTGCTCCCTGCCCCCTTCCCCGGACACGATTCACATTTTCCACGTATTAAAAATGAACCAAACACAGACACACAGCACATGCCACGGGGCCGGCACCACCTGGCCGCACGTGTGGCCCTGGGTCCCACAGCAGGACATCACAGTGAGTCGGGGTGTGAGGGGGCTGTGGCCACCCCCTCCTGCTCTCTGTATAGAGGGGGTCTGGGCCCTGCGGAGCCAGGGCCGCACCAGCAGCCCGAGCCAGGCACTGTGTCCATTCCCACGGTGGGGACGCTGGGCTGGCACGGTCCCGCAGACATCCCTGGAAGGCATGCAGCACCCCTCACACCCACCGTTGCCAGTACCGAGGTGATGCCCAGGGAGCTCCCGGGGGTCCAGACCCCACTGGCTGATGGGTGCTGCCGCAGGCCACGGGCACCAGGCTCCAGGCATGCACACACAGACAACACAGACCCCGGCCGCGGCGCGGTCC